TAAACTTATTAGTATAAATTTAAGCGTATTTAAAAGCATAGTATATACACCTATATAATATAAGTTTATAGATAAGCTTATATTATAAGAGAAAGTAATAATCTTAAGCATTTATAAATATTTATAAGTATTTGATTATATAGATAATAGTAAGAGAAGTGATATATTATAATAATTTCTATTATTATAATTAGTAAGTTATATCCTCTAATAGAGACAAATAAGAAAAAAGATAATCTAAAATATAACTTCCTAAATTACTAATTATATAAAGTGCTTATATAACTATATATATTATACAATTAATATTATAGTTATAAGTTATAATAAATAAAGTATTTTTATATAAAGTTTATATTTTAAACTTTATTGGTCTATTTTATATAGAATGTTAAAATTAGTTAAGCGTTTGTATTATTCTTATATTATTATTATTATTATTATTATAAAAGAATGTTTTATATTAGTAAAACGTATTATTATCAATGTCATATATAATATATACTTTTATTTTATTTCTATTAAAACTACTAAATTTAATATTTAGGTATTATATTAATTATATAATCTTTTTGCTAAGTATAAAATCTCTAATTTAGCTATCATTATTACTTATTTTAGTATTTAATTTAAAAATGTTATAAGTATAGTTCTGCCTTATTTAAAGTCATAAGTGTTAACATATAACATTCTTTTATAATAATAATAATAATAATATAAGTATGATAATAACGCTTAACTTACTTTAATATTCTATATAAAATAAACTAATAAAGATTAAGGTATCAAACCTTATATTAAAATACTCTATTTATTATAACCTATAACTATAATATTGATTATGTAATATGTACAGTTACGTAAGCACTTTATGTAATTAGCAGTTTAGCAGGTTACGTTTCAGGTTATCTTTCCCCTCACTTTTCTCCACTAGAGGAAACAAGCTCCTAACTACAACAACCAGAGTCATCACAATACATCACTTCCCTTATTATTATCTACATAATTAAATGCCTATAAATGCTTAAGATTATCACCTTTTATCATAATATAAGCCCATCTATAACCCTGTACTATATAGGCGCATATACTACGCCCCTGAATACGCTTATACCTGTGTTAACAATAAGTTTATATATAATATATATTTTAAAAAAATAAGTTTAAATATAAAAAGGAAATAGAAAGCTTTATGAAGCTTTAAAAGTAATAAAATTATTATTAATAATTTTAACCTTAATATTACCTCTCTATTTAAAGCTATCAATACTAAATAAGCTACTTAAAATATTGCTCAAGAGGTAATATATAATAATAATACTATTTATTAGTATAAATATAGAAGTATTTAGAGGCATAATACATATAACATGGTTCATCAGTCAGCAACACACTTTTTCCCAAACGCAGTTTACACTAAACCACTTAAAACTTTAACACATAATAACTCTACAACCATCATGCTAATTTACACACAAGAAGACAAGATACTTCTAGCCATCGAGGCGATCCGATCAGCCCGCGTCGCCAGCTGAAAGCTAAGTGTGTTGCGTGCTGCGAAGACTTACAGTATCCCTAAAAGTTCTATACGCTATAGAATGAACAATCAACCCTAACGTAAATATACCTAACCCTAATAATATAAACTTAATCTAATTAAAGAGAAAATACTTTTTTAATATACTATTAAATAGGATTTTAGAGGATTTCCTTTACGCCTTACTAATATAAAATATATAGCTAATCTCCTGCTATAAATGTGTAATAGTAAGCCTATTAGTAGGTAATAGGCTAGGTGGTTTGTGGATTTATAGCCTGCTTTGAAAACTAAGTTTAATTATCTATATAATTATTAAAAGACTTTTTAAGAAGATCCTAAGGTTATATTAAAGTGGTTTATATTATTATATAATATAATAGCTAAGTATAGTATCTAAGAGGGGGACCTATATAATTTTAATAAAACTAGCTTTATAATAAGTATGATTACTATATTAATAGTAGTAATATATACTAATTAATATAATAAAATAAAGTCTATCTAGCTTAATAACTATAAATAAGCTATAGTTATTAAATATATTAATTTAGGTAAGTGGTATCTCCCTTTATTTATAATTATTAAAGGTGTATATCACCTTATTAGTTGGACTATAAAATTAGGTTTTCTAGGTAACTAGGTAATTAAACCTACCATTAATAAACAGTTAGATAATTAGATAGGTTTTAACTAAATTAAATACTTTAATAAATATATTAAGAACTAAATAAAACATATTTATTGAATGCTTATTATTAACAGCTATAAGAGCTATTGATCAGCTAAATTTAATAATTACTATAAGCAAAATAATATTATAACTATCAGTATACCTATATATTTATTATATCCACTATAGCTATTAGATATTACTTTTTATTCACTTTTAAAATATATACATAGTAATAAAATTAACCTATTTATTAGAGCCTCTATAAAATATATCACTAAGTCTACGTTCTTTATTACTTTCTACTAAGCTTATAATAAGGTTTTTAATAAAGAAAATTTTCGGTTTATTTTCTAAAGTATTAGAATTTCACTACAAGACTTAGACTATATTATTAAAAGGCTTAGTATATATTATAAATATTTACACCTCTTATAGCTAACCTTTTAATATTACTACCTTAATAGTTATAAACACCTTTTGATTTATAATAAACTATCTTATAGTTTAACTTTATTAACAATTATATTTCTACTTATTAAAAAAGCTTATTAATACTAATTATTACTATAGTTAAGTAATTATTAAAAGGTATATAAGTAATAGCACACTTAATCACTATTTTAACTAATTAGCTTTATACCCTTAAAGATATCAATATAGCACTTACTAAGCGCTAAAAAGCTAAAAGAACATAGGTATAACTCGGAGAGGCACTTAATGAAGAGGAATCTTAGGTTTTGCTTAAAAGGAAATAAAAAGGGAAATATCCAGCACCTCAAGAGGATAAGGAGAGGGGTCTATTAAAGAGAGCCCAGCCAGCTCAGAGACGCTATAGTGTGTATAGCGAGACTGGTCATAATGCGAGAACCTATTCTAAGGATGTGGAATTATTAAATGATTTAAGTAGTAATTAGGAATAGTTAATTAAATATGTTGTGGTTATATAATAGTAAATACTATTATACGTATAGGAAAAAGTTTGTTGCTAGTTGATATTTATTACTAACTGATGAACCATGTTATTTATAAAATATAAACTTATAAATAAGCTTATATTATAATAAAACGTAATAGTCTTAAGTATTTATAAGTATTTAATTATATAAATAATAATAAGGAAATAGATATAATATTAATAATTTCTATTAATATTATTAGTAAGTTAAATCCCCTAATAAGAAAAAGTGAAGAGAAAAATAACTTAAAACGTAACTTACTGAATTACTAATTATATAAAGTGCTTATATAACTATATATATTATATAATTAATGCTATAGTTATAGGTTATATTAAATAGAGTATTTCTATGTAAGGTTTTATATTTTAAACTTTATTACTTTATTTTATATAGAATAATACAATAAGTTAAGCGTTTGTATTATTCTTATATTATTATTATTACTATTATTATTATTACTACTATAAAAGAATATTATGTATTAATAACTATTATTTAAAGTATTAATAATGCTTAAGTCTTCTATTAATATTAATAGTTTAAAGCTAAAAAGTAGTAACTAATAGTTATAAAGATTTATTAATAGTAAGAGGAAATCTTATTAGCTTATTAAAAAGAGGATTTTTAGTATTAATAAATAGTTTCTTTTAGTAATACTAAGTTATGCTTTTACAATAAAGATTACTATTACTAATATAATAACTATTCTATTTAATACTATTATTTTTATAGTTATTTTTATAAGTATAATTATTAAAATAAATATAGCTACTACTTTTAAGATTATAAGACTAATTATACCTATATTAGAGTATTAATATAGTCTTTTTAGTTACTAGAAATAATATAATATTATAGCTTTTTTATTAAAATTAAAAAAAAACTAGCTATTAAGTTTTACATTATAAGGGTCTAGGACAAGGTCGATGCCATTGGTCTAGCCTACTACTACGAGTACAATAAATCTTCTTGAAGAACAGGAAACAGAACTGTATCCTCCCTATTTCCTGGGCATTCTTATAACCTTGCCATTGACCTTGTCGATATTCCTAGAACCTTCTAGCAAATGCGCCATTAGATTTGGTGGGTCCAATGAGTCGTGGCTGAGGGTCTTGCTGAAGGCCGAACACCGGTCCGGTCCATACACCGTGACATACATCGCTTAAATCTAAAAAGCTTTTAAATTATTTAAGAACTTAATATAACTCTAGTTAACTTAAGCTAATTAGTGGTTTTAGATTTACTTAAAAAAGTATTTAGTTTTAAGTATTTAGCTAAAAGTACTTATATTTTAAAATAAAAATATACTAAACTTTAACATAATTACTGTGATGTAATAATACTAACCTATGCAACTATTAAAAAAGGTTTAAAGCAGGTAATATACTGATTTGCCTCTATTAAAATACTAGCTACCTAAATTGCGACTTAGTTATTTAGCTTTTAATTAGTGATTGCAGCCCTTCAGCTTTTAGCCTTATAGCCTCGTGGTTTTGTAGGCTTGACTGCAGCCCTGTTGCCTGGTCACTTTGTACTTAGGCTCCAGCTTGTAGCCTTATGGCTTTAGCCTTCCAGCCCTATAGGCCGTGGGCCTAGGAGCCCTACGTGGCCCTGGAGCCCTGTGGCCTCTGCTCCGTCCGTCGAGATGGCTTGACCCTTTAGGAGGGGGGGGGGGGGTGGTCAGTAGTGATTTAGGCGATACGCAGAGGGTGTGGAAACAAAAATGCATTGATGAAAACGAGGGTTGGTTTAAGATAAGATTCCTCTAGATAATTTGTTATCGCTCAACAGGAAAAGTCTGGTGCTGGTCTATAGGCAGACGTTCTATCTAGGCCGTAATCTTGACACCTCCCGCCGACGACATGTACTTGGGCAAGCGCAGTTTCCGCGTCGCCCGGACCTCGGCGCCCTCCTTGCCCAGGTAGCGGCCCGTCTCGAAGCTCCAGTGCAGCGAGGCGACGGCGACGTTGCGGTAGATGTCGAGGCAGCGGCAGACGTCGCGGTCCGTGTCCTCGCCGTAGCAGGGCAGCCCGGCGAGGGCCGTGTACCAGCGGCGGAAGCAGTCGTTGAGCATGTCGCCGGCCTTGTCCATGCTCTCCTGCGTCGTGAAGCCGCGCGACTTCCACGAGATGATGAGGTTGTGGTCGACGCCGTACTGGACGTCCTTCTTGTACGACAGTATGTCGTTCACGACGAGCAGCAGGTCGCTGACGACGCGGAAGGCCTCGCGGATCGACGGGTGCTCGACAATGTCGCGCGGCAGGTCGATGCCGGCGCACCATTCGAGCAGCGCCAGGATCATGGACGTGCCGACGGTGCCCCGCCGCACGGCCAGGAACTCGTCCTCGACCAGCTTGGCGTCGCGGCCCTCGACCTTGATCCGCACCTGCTCGGCCACGGCGTCAAAGTAGACGTCGTGCGCCCACTTCCAGCGCTGCCTGAAGTTGTCCGACGACTGCTTGCCGATCAGGTAGCCGTCCGGGCTGCCCTTGACGCGGTCCCAGAGCGTCTGGAAGACGTAGCGGATCGGGTAGTATTCTGGTGAGTAGCGCGGCCCCTGGTCGTCTAGGATGGCGCGCGTCTTTGCGATCTCGTCCAGGGCCGCGTCCAGGTCCGTGGCCAGGGGCCCCTCGTCGAACTGGTCGTCAAAGGCAAAGATGCACGACGCGAAGTCGTTGATGGTGCGCAGCGCGTACGGGTTGCAGTCGGCGTCCCACAGCGCCGACAGCAGCGCCAGGTTGGCCTTCTTGTTCATGGCCGGCCACTTCGGGTCTGTTCCCACCATGAGGCTGCAGGCAGGCAATTAGCAAGTGCCAATCATGCTTTGGTGTGAGACGGAGAGGCTGTCGAGCTGGTCTTGCCGTGTCTGTCCAGACTTACTCGGAAATCCACTGGTCCGCCTCACGCTTCACCTCTTCAAACGCGGGATTGAGCCGCACGGGAGCAGACATGAAGGAGGCGCAAAGATCGGGCATGTCCACGACCTCCATCTCGCCGCCCTCCAGACTTTGACCAGGAGCCTCGACCCTGATTTGTTCTGCCGTTGCCGGTGTAGCCATCCCTGCGGCCTCGGCCTCGTTTGTGATGGTCTTTGTCGTCGTGACCATGTTTGCGGTCGAGTGTTGAAGCAGAGTCTTGTTTCCAAGGTTTATCTGTATTGCGTAGTTTCTTTCTACGGCACCGGACTACACACAAGAACGAGTGGGCTTGGGTATCGTACAAGGGGTAGACCGACCATTCTGGATGAACAGTGAGCTTTCTTATCATGCGTCGCGGTCGCTTTCTGGCCTTTTGACTGCCTCGCCGCGGTGGTCCTGAATAAAGCAGGAAGCCGCAAGCACGCCAAGGCGTACTCCTCGTCGTGAACCACGGACAATCCCGCGGGGGAGGCCAGCCCAGGCTGCGCGGACCTATGCCCGGATCTACTCGAATAGGAAATGGCACGGTTGGGGGATCGTCGCACCCGCGCCCGTCTCTTGTCAGCATCCCGCCACAATGACATTGCCGGGCCGTGGTGGAAAACGGCTCCCACCCGCTTCCGGTCCCCCATGCCAACCTCTTATCAGACGGAGGATTCTACCAAGCCTTGGTGTCTGTGGTCGCGGTCCGCAGGAAGCGTGCGCCTCTGGAGCGTGGTCCTCATGCGAGGTTCTTTGGCTGCGGACTGTGGCCTGAAGAAACTTGGGTGGGGATCCTCTGCAGAAAGTCGGGGCCGACATAGTCTCGGCGGCTCCACAACTCACCCGTCTCCCAGTCCCAGGGATGCAAAGCTCACGCCGGTATGACTGCCTTGGCATGCACCAAAGCGGATATTTAGCTTGCGTGATAGTACGGAGGATTGTCGGAATTGGCCTGTATTTAAGAATAAGCCCTAAAACAGGGCATCCCTGGGACAGGGCACCCCTGGGACAGCAACAACGAACAACAAGCCATCACACAGATCCTAGCCAAATTGATCCTAATTGGATTGCTAGGATTATCTGTGAGGGTGGTTCAATCAGAATCAGCACACCACCGGGCTGCGGCAAGCTGCATACGCCCTGTCAGGTCCAGAAGCCGAACCAGATAGCGGATAATTATCTGCTCACCAAACTGGAGCGCGGTTGCATTGGAACAATCTCACGTCAGCCCTACTCAAGCAAGGCCGCCTAGGCATCGGCGTCATACACGGGTCGGACCGCCCAAACAAGTCAGAGTGGGGGCTGGCTGATTGGCTCAAGCACGCAGCATGCTGAGTAGTAGCGCGGCCCCACGGGACGGGTCGGGCCAGGGTAGGGTTAGGCAAAACGAAAAAAAACGGGACATATTTATTGACATTTCAACGAAGCAACACATATATAGGTACACAAGGTATTAAGATGGACAGTTAGATTAATAGATAGTCGTAGCAGCAGTAGTGAACTAGGCTAGCGAAGTTGATAGAGGAACCAGTGCCATGCCATGCCCTCGGGGGCATCAACCAGCTCATGCCCTCGGGGGCATCAACCAGCTCACGCCCTTGGGGGCATAGAAAGTGCCACACCCTCGGGGGCATCAATCAGCTCATGCCCTTGGGGGCATAGAAAGTGCCACGCCCTCGCGGGCATCAACCAGCCGATGCTAGGAAGTTTGATAGCCTCCCATAAAGCTTCGTTCAACAGCGTCCGCTTGGAAAGCGTAAAAGTTTCTATGCTTTTACTTACCTATATCTTCCTTAGCATCGATATCTAGACGCCTAGGCAGGCTAGTCCCACTGCTAACCCCCGCAGGCGCTCAAGTGAAGATGTGCCTACCTGCATGGCTCTCCCAGAGCCTGTATGAGTTGCTACTCAGCCCGGTCCTGTCTATCCCAAGAGGAGGAATACAATCGCTCGAAAGATAGCAAAATCCCTAGAAGGAGGAGGATAGTATAGAGCATAGAACGACAATCCTAGTAAGCATATAGAGCTGGCCAACAGGGAGCACGATATATATAAACAGCCTCAGCAGGAGTAGCAATAGATATATTCACCGATAGATAGATGAACAGATGAATAGAGGAAGAGGAGATTGAGGGTAGAGAAAACGGGGGACGCGTAGGAGATAGAAGAGGGTTAGATATCCTTGGCTATCCACGCGTTTGGTCTAGGCGTGTTTGTCCGCGAGAAGTAAGACCCTGGCCGGAAGCGGACTAATGTATAATGTCGCGTTAAGAGTGAGACCAACGCGTCAAGCAGGGGCAAGACAAGAAGGCCAGCTAACCATAGGATAAACCATCACAAACTCCATCGTCCTAGATAAAGAGTATATCAGGGCACCAGTAAGCAGATATCCGCGCAAAGCCTCAGTCAGTATATAGACATTTGTAAAGGGTGACAGGAAGCATGTTTACTTATGGTATACAGCAAGATGTGCAACTCAGACAGCGCAAATTCATCGTTAATGGGCAAGGGAGAGCCAAGGGAGGACCTCAGGTAGGTCCGGGGCCCTGTTGGTCCCGACCCACTCCATCGGAATAAGCCAGGGCCCGACAGCCGTTGATTATGTAATAGCTAGTTGAGTATCCAACCGGCCGAGCAGATCACTGTGAAATTATGAGTTTGGGGAAGCAAATCGCAAATAGCCCTGCGCATAACGTTCTACCTAGGATAAGGGCAGATGGGATAGTTTAGATAGGAGCGAGCAAAGTGATCTAGAACTCAAACAGGCAAAACAGGCCATCATATAAACAGGTAACATTTTTTCTAAGAAATTTTATCACAACATTAGAATGTTATTGTTCTACAGGGTATGATCATCAACACCGCCACCTAGACAAGATCTGGGAGCAAAGGTTAACATAAGACGCGCTATACTGCAGGTTAAATATATCTACATATCATTACGTATAAACAAGTAGCCGGATCACTACCACTTCTCTTTCTAGTTATAGTCATACATAGGTTGGGCTATGATACCTCAGCTCTAAGGAGGGTATTTCCAACCTTACAACAGACCCTATGTTCAACACCTCTCCCCAGAGTTGTTCCTCAACTAGAAAACAGGAGGGAGCATACGCAGTATAGGCAGGCATAGCTTGTCCTTATTGCCCTAGACTCGTCAGATACCCAGGGCGTCCCAGGAGCTAGCACAGCCAGTGACCCAGCCAGTTAAGGGCGCCAATCCTGAGTATGAAAGACGTGCGATTATGGGGGTAGGACAGCTATTTATCCAGAGGGCGACTAATAGTGCGTATAAGTGTTCATAGCACCACCTATCATAGGTGTATTCCGACGCCTGATCTGTTTATTACCTTACAGCATGACCTGAGGTTAGTTATGCCGCTGCTGCTGCTGCTGCTACCGGACGTGAATACGCTAACTGTGGTGGGGTGAGTCAGCTCCCTCTGCTGCGTAGCCGTCCCCCACCTAGCATATAAAAACATAGAAGATTAGTGTACTACAGCAGCCTCGGACCAATCGCATCCGGCCGCCCTGCCAAATACGCACCCCTTCCAAGCATCCATCATCCCATCTTCCCGTCTCATTTGTGCACACATCTCATCTGATCACAAGCACCCCCACCCCCTTAACCACCTATCCCTAAGCCCCCAGGGGCAAGAAAGACAAGAAAATTAACGAAGAAACAACAGGAACAGCCAGCACAGGCTATCAGGCGGCAGTTGAAAAATACACTGCATATCACCGCAATGGCCAGAGTGCTCAGCGACAAGCGGAAGAGGAAGTGTGATGAGGGCGATAGAAAGAAAGCAGCAACAGCGGCATCAGCATCAGGGCTGAGGAGGCGGGTCCGGGCCAGGAGAGAAGATGAGATCAGCTCCCCCTTTACAGAAACATCGTCCGCGCGAGAACGGGCGCGACCTTTCCTCCTCGCCGTTGCCAGGATGCCCATCGACGTGCTGGACACAGCCTGGAGCGTCGGCAGGAACCGCCCTATTAACGCAGCCCACGTCCAGGAGCTGTTACACGCATTCAGGAGCGGCGGGCTGGAACGGCGGGCGCCGGAGAACCGGATCACCGTCCTCTGCAGCGCCGAGGCAGTCAGCCTTATGCAGCAGGACGGTGGCGGCATAGAGGGGCGAGAGGAGGACGACGGAGAGGACGACAACGATGATAACGACAGTCCTTGCGAGCTCTCCTTTTTACGCTGGGCCGAAGTGAGCGGGGGCCAGGCCGAGGTCATGGCCGGCCAGCACCGTATCCAGGCGCTCCGCGAGTACGTCAAGGAGACGGGCGCACCAGGCTCCGACCTATGGTGGGCGTGCGAGCTGTATGACAAAGGTATAGCCCCCAAGCTCAAGGCATGAGCCTGTGTTCACAAGAGGCTAACGGACGACATGGAAACCCAAAGACCGCCTGCCGCGCGACCTGAACGTCAAGCTCCGCGTCAACAGGCGCGATCCAAGCCTGCCCGACAATCACGGGCAGATCTGGACGCAGCTTGCGTCCATCGCCTGCATAGGAGGGCAGGCAGACGGACAGCTAGGCGGGGAGGACGCCGCCGTAGACCAGCACGTCGTCGAGGCACTCCGCCTCGGCGGCGAGAAGCATTTCCCAACGCGGAGGCTCGTTACGTTGTGGAACCACCAGAGATGGCGGCCTGTCACGACGCAGTGGTGCTGCACAAGGCTGGGGTTAGACACCTTCAATATTTCATACTTTGAGTGGATTGCTAGCCTCCGCATCGACGAGTACTGGATTGATGCCCTTAACGAGGTTCTCAGCGTTTTAGCCGACCTACCCGCGGACGAGCAGGTCTACATCACGCCCGCCGACTGGGACAGGCTCTCAACTTGCCAAGCCGCCCCCGATATTACGAGCGTATTCTACACGTCCGGACAGCAGCAGGCGGGGCTTGAAGCACGTACACGGGTCGACGGGTTCCTTGCGAACATGGACGATCACACCTACCACCTCGTCCATGATGTTATCACAAACTCGCTGGTGCTTACGTTCCCCGACCTAAGGCGTATCCTCCACTGCAAGAAGACGGAGATCCAGATAGCCGTCCGCGTGCTCTGCCACGTGATCTGCTGGATCAGTCCAGAGCAAGCTGCAGCTGTCGACAACGTCAGGCCTAAGGATAGGAATAAGCCCCTCCTCCGGGAGCACCTGTCGATAGCGCTAGACGACCTCGCCTCCCATAGGGG